CCGTCTGGAGCCTGAACCACGACACACGACACACGACACACGACACACACCATCCTGTTATTATTCACATGTGTGCACAGTCCTCAGGCGTCTGTGTGTGCGCGGTCCTCAGGGGTCTGTGTGTGCGCGGTCCTCAGGCGTCTGTGTGTGCGCGGTCCTCAGGGGTCTGTGTGTGCACAGGCCTGGAGCTGAAGGGCCCGTGCACACACACACGCTCTGCTCTCTGTTCTGACAGAGTTTCCTCTTCACACACACACACACACACACACACACACAGACACACACACACACACACACACACACACAGACACACACACACACACACACACACACACACACACACACACAGACACACACACACACACACACACACACACAGACACACACACACACACACAGACACACAGACACACACAGACCTGGACTTGTGTTTGTTTGTTTCACATGTTTTAATCACAAACCTGCACATTTAGTTCGAGTTCTTGTCAGACTCGAGTGTCCAGACGACCAGACTGACCCGGGACAGTCTCAGTTTGGTCCCTGTGTCTCTGTCCCTGCAGATTTACACAAAAACAACGATTTGTCCCACAGTTTTATACAAGAAATGTCCCAGTGTCTCTAGTTTTCACCAATTTGATCAAAACCAGGTCTAAACCTGGACTAAACCTGGACTAAACCTGGTCTAAACCAGAACTAAACCTGGTCTAAAATAGGACTAAACCAGGACTAAAACAGGACTATCACAATTTTTGTCAAATCTGATCCTCGTCAACAGTAAAGAGGAGCAGAAATGATCATTTCTTTGCCAAAATACAGAAAATTGTGTTTGCAAATGATCATAAAACAAACAAAAACAATAATAATCATGCAGCAACAGAAGTTCCTCAGATTTGGTCCTTCTGTCCTGTTTTAGTCCTGGTTTAGTCCTGTTTTAGTCCTGGTTTAGTCTTGTTTTAGTCCTGGTTTAGTCCTGGTTTAGTCCTGTTTAGTCCTGGTTTAGTCCTGTTTTAGTCCTGGTTTAGTCCTGTTTTAGTCCTGGTTTAGTTCTGTTTTAGTCCTTGTTTAGTCCTGTTTTAGTCCTGGTTTAGTTCTGTTTTAGTCCTGGTTTAGTCCTGTTTTAGTCCTGGTTTAGTTCTGTTTTAGTCCTGTTTTAGTCCTGGTTTTAGTCCTGGTTTTAGTCCTGTTTTAGTCCTGGTTTAGTCCTGTTTTAGTCCTGGTTTAGTCCTGTTTTAGTCCTGGTTTAGTCCTGTTTTAGTCTTTGTCCCTCAGGTTCTGACTGACACGAGAATCCAAAATGTTTCACGCTCTTTTCACTTTTTTAATTTTAATTTTATTTACACCAAACATCTAAACTCGGGTGTGTCTCAGTTTAGAATTTTAAAAATCTGCATTCACACAATTCGTTTAAATCACAAACCTGCAGATTCAGCTCCACTTCTGCCCAAACTGACGAGACCAAGTGTCTTTATTTTGAGCCTGTGTCTCCTGTTCTACCTCAGATTTATACAAAACCACTGATTTGTTCCAGTTTATACCAGAAAAGTCCCAGGTGTTTCTATTTTGAACCAGTCTGATCCTGTCAACAGTAAAAACAAACATAAACTGACATTTATTTGGGTAAAATACAGAAAAGCTGCTTCAAAACGACAAAAACACAACGAAAATGTGACTGTTGTGACTCACATTTCTCACAATTCTCTTTAATTACGACTCGATTTACAATTTTATTATCACCAACCTCCACAAACCCGAGACGTCCAGGTTTTTATTTTGAAAATCTGCTCACTCAAGCTCAAAATAATAATAATTAAAAAAAATTTTTTTTTAAAAAGACTTTGTGTAAAACCAGTTAAATAAATTCAAAGTGGAAACACAAGAGTGATTCGTTTAAAAAAAAAAAAATCAAATACACATTTAAAATTTTGGTTCGTGATTATTTCAATGTGTTTTTGGTTTTAGAGGATTTTCATAAAATTTCCCTGCACAAAAAAGCCCAAACTTCCTGATCTGAAACAATCAAACAACAAAACAACCGCGTGATTTTTGCTTCAGACGAACAGAGCGCGCGGGATTTTAGGAGAAAAACGAAATATTAGAAAAATGTGAAGTTGGTTTTTCGTTTAGAATTCTGGCCTTTTTCCCCTTTTCCCCTTTTCATAAGAAACAAAAACATCCTCTTAAAAATGAAACAGTTTAAATGAAAACAGTGAAAATTATATAAAAATTTAAAAATCGTTTCAAATCTGTGGGAGTAAAAGAAAAGAAGCGCAGTGAAAAGGCCGAAGAGACGCGACCCACGAACCCGGGACGCGCCTCCTCATCTCAGCCTCGCGCACAAATGTCCCAGAAATGATAAAGAAGGAAATAAATGCGGCGTGTTTGCACAGTTACCGCACACCGCGCCGCTAATCCGCGCGATAACAGCGGACTTTGCGCTAACCCTCGCGCCGCTGCACGTGCTTTAAAGGATTAAGACGCAAAGCTCCTTCTTCTGTGACGCGCGGGCTTCAGTGGAGACGTAACGTAACGCCGCGTCACGCAGGCACGGAGCGGAAACACGAGCCGGGATTACACTGGGATTAGGCCCGGTAACGGGAGCCTCCCCCGGGACGCGGCTCTGGGGGGAACCCGCGTCCAAAAAAGCTCCGGAGAAAATCAAACACGACTCACCGGCGCTGCGCTTTTACGCACAGACTGGAGCCACGTGGATGAGGGAGACGTGCGCGTCACGGGCCTCGGGTTTGGGGTAAATTCACCATGAAATTCTGACGGATTTAGAGACACTTTGTTCAACCTTTTTATGTCCAAAAACAGACGATTAAAAATGTGTAATAAAAGAAAGCGGAGAGGAGGCGGTGACGCTGCTCCTAAACTCTGTCACAAAATTCAACCGGATTTGAACAAAAGAAAATCTATAAATTAAACATCCATCTTAATGAAACCACTTTGATTAAACTCATTTCTGGTCTGAGGTTAAACACTTCGGGGCCTCGGAGCTGGAGTTGTTCTCAAATTGACTCTAAAACCCAAATGTTTGGAGCTGAGTTGATTCGTGGCCTCGTGATTCTACGCGTAAAAACTCAGGTCAGGATTTTAACGCAGCCTGATTTTAGTTTGAATCTAAACATCACAAAGATGAACATTTACAGATTATTTACGCGCTTTTTGTAAAGTTTTTTCGTGTGTTTTAATCGTCCTTTTCATGAATCTGGTCCGTCTTTCATTGTTCACCCGCACGCGCACCTCAAACTCCTCATATTTTTATTTTTATTGTTGCGCAACGGATCAAATCACGCTTCTACAATCACCAAGAATTACGCAATGATCTTAAAAATCGGCCCTTAAACCTTTATCATCTGCGCATGCCCGTGAGCGCGGGCCTTTGCGTTATTTGTGCAAAACCAGCTCGTTTAATTGAGACTAAAATCAGAAATAATCACAAATAAATCAGAAATAATCACAAACAAATCAGAAATAATCATAAACAAATCAGAAATAATCACGCACATCAAATCACAGTGTCACGATTGTGTCATTTAAACGGTTAAAGACAAAATATCCTGGTTTCCTGTTTATATTTTCCTTCTTAAATTCCCTAAAACTCGGCGCGTAAAACCGGGATCAGCGTTTGGAATCAACTTGAACAAGATTTATTTATGAGCTTCACGGATCCAACTGAATTTGACTCATGATGTAAGTCACTAAAAAAGACAAATTCCACATCACCACGGAGATTTTCAAACTTAATCAAATGAGTTTGATGAGTTTTATGAGTTTGAACAAAAGTGTCAGAATTACGCGCGTTTACGGTTTTGGTTTGGTTGGATAAAATGGACGCGGACAGAGGAGCTGAGCCGGCGCCAGAGCTGCTTCCTTCTCATTGCTCCAAATAATTACGCACAGATTTACAGCTTTAAAACCGCGTGGGCTCGAACAAAACGCGGGGAAATGTGCAGACGCAGAGGGCAGAGATTGGAAAACTATAATTTACGCGTAAAAATCTGTGAAAATCAAACACGTAAAACGAGTTTCGTGAGTGAATCGTTTAAAATAAAATGAATTAAACTGCAAATATTGAAGCGTATGGGAGCGCAGAGTGTGGCCTATTATTAGGAGTCGAAACACAATGGAAGAATAACGCAGAGATCCTTTCACCTGTCTGTGCCTCGGGGCTGTGACACACTCAGACACGAACGGCCTTTCAGCTTCACAAACGTTTTACGCATCAAACAGAACAACATCCGCGCTCCGAATTTCACTCCTTTTCATTTCCAGGTTTCGCTGCTCTGAAAAAAGATAATATTATGCACGTTTTTTAGAGAAAATGTGGAATTATACGCAGGAAAAAGCGCACAAAGAGAAGAGGAAGAGCCGGAGAGGAGCTTTTATCAGGACTTCACAATAGGAATAACTCGGGGAATACTGCGCCTCCAGGCTGGATTTGATGTGGAACTTTTGGATGCCATTTTATCCGTGCGTGCGGTCAGCAGCTGCTCGGTTTTATTGTGCTGATGTCGGTTTTACAGTAACACCACAAAGCTTTGTACGCGCGCTGCTAAATTTCACTTTTTTTTTTTTTTTTTTAATTTACCCGCATTTTACGCAGGAAATCAAACCTTTTTTTTCCACATTTGTTCATTTGATTCGCTGTTCTGCGCGTGGATAAATTACAAAATTAAACTGGAATGTTTTTTTTTTCTTGTTTTGAAGCTTGTTTTGGAGTTGTGAAGTTCAAAAGTGAAGTGAGAGTGGAGCAGGGTTCGGGGCAGGTCACCTTCGTTCTCGTTCGCTTTGCGCTCGACGAAAAGAATGATCGATATTTCACCGACTCATTTGACGCCGCGTTAAAAACCAAACTGAGATTAAATCAAATAAATCACTCAAGTTAAATGTCGCCTGTCAAATCAATCAGGATAAAAAACAGTCCGAGTATTTTTAGGAGGGAAGGTAACTTAAAACCCGTGCGTAAAAGTGCGGACACATGGAACGGCTGTACTCACATAGTTCTGGTCCGGTTCAGCGCGGGGCATGGACACGCGCTCCTCTCCTCGCTTCCTTTCCTCGCCTCCTTCCCTCGCTTCGTTCCCTGTCTCCTCGCGTCCTTCGTCTTTTCTTCGGGATTAAATTAAAATTCGCGGAAACCCGAAGTGCGGAGGCGCGTGGCGTGTGGAGCGGCGGGGTCCCCGGGTGCGGTGTGCGCTCTCCGCTGCGCGTCGTGGCCGTGTCCGTGGGAGCGCGGAGCTGACGCCGTGGAGCGGAGCTGACAGAGGTTTGATCCCACGCCGCGTGCACGAGAGGGCAGGGGCACGCGCGGCGGGGACGAGCAGGAGGAGGGTTTGTGTTGGACTCGAGCGCGCTCCCGTCTCCCTCTGTTCTCCGGTCGGAGGGTTTAGTCCGCGCGCGCACGAGAGACGCGTGGACTTATTCACGCGTGGATCTGGTGACGGGAGGGCATCTGACACAGAGTCACAAACTACTGTCCTGAAGTTACACCGCAAAAAGTGTTCAAATCAACTCTGATAGAGTCAGTTTGAATATTTCCTCAGAGTTTCTCTGAGTCACTCTGTTCTAGAGTTAATTTAACATTTGTGTAAAAGTTCATGAAGTAAAACTGGACCAAAGTTCCTGTTTAACCCAAACCCAGAGTTAAATGAAGGTTTAGAGAGTAAACAGATAACACTTTGTAGAGTTATCCTGATTTAACTCAACAACACAGAGGAGTTTTATTTTCACACTTTATTTGAGTTAATTTAAGATGAAATTCAGAACAAAACTGGTTCAAACTGGTTCTTCTCTGGAGGGAGTTTGAAGTCAAATTAACACTAAGAGAAGTTGAATTAACTTCAACCAAATCAACTCTGACAAATCACCTCAACTCCAACTCACATTTAACTCTCAAAGAGTAAAAATAAAACACTTTTGGTGTTAAAAACAACAAATATTTTACCCTGATTGGTTTAGGTCCATTTAGTCCTAGTTTAGGTTTGGTTCAGTTCTGGTCTTGGTTCAGTTTAGTCCTGGTTCAGTCCTGGTTTAGTCTTGGTTCAGTCCTGGTTTAGTCTTGGTTCAGTCCTGGTTCAGTTCTGGTTCAGTCCTGGTTCAGTCCTGGTTCAGTTCTGGTTCAGACCTGGTTTAGTCCTGGTTCAGTCCTGGTTTAGTCTTGGTTCAGTCCTGGTTTAGTCTTGGTTCAGTCCTGGTTCAGTTCTGGTTCAGTCCTGGTTCAGTTTTGTTTCTTTATCATTTAGATTTAAAATGTCACAGTTCGAACAAAATGATCCAGAAAATATAATAATAAACACAAAGACAAAAACAGGAAAGATTCATTTTGTTTTTTGTTTTTGTTGTTGTTTTTTTGTTTTTGTTTTTGTTGATTCTTGATGAAAATTCGTCTCGTGTTTGATTTTGTCTCGTGTTTTTCTGACTCGTCGGTTTGTTTCTTGTGTTTTTCGTGTCATTGTCATAAAAAGTGGAAATGCGGGCGATAAGAACGATGTAAAAACACTGGTGCGAGTCAGTGCTGCGAGTCATCGGTGTCGTGTGCAGAAGTGCAGTCGGGTCATCGGTGTCGTGTGCAGAAGTGCAGTCGGGTCATCGGTGTCGTGTGCAGAAGTGCAGTCGAGTCATCGGTGTCGTGTGCAGAAGTGCAGTCGGGTCATCGGTGTCGTGTGCAGAAGTGCAGTCGGGTCATCGGTGTCGTGTGTGTCAGTGCAGTCGAGTCATCGGTGTCGTGTGCAGAAGTGCAGTCGGGTCATCGGTGTCGTGTGCAGAAGTGCAGTCGAGTCATCGGTGTCGTGTGCAGAAGTGCAGTCGGGTCATCGGTGTCGTGTGCAGAAGTGCAGTCGGGTCATCGGTGTCGTGTGTGTCAGTGCAGTCGAGTCATCGGTGTCGTGTGCAGAAGTGCAGTCGAGTCATCGGTGTCGTGTGCAGAAGTGCAGTCGGGTCATCGGTGTCGTGTGCAGAAGTGCAGTCGGGTCATTGGTGTCGTGTGTGTCAGTGCAGTCAGGTCACGTGCCTCAGGTCGGGGCTGCGGGTGTGCCTCAGGTCAGGGCTGCAGGTGTGCCTCAGGTCGGTGCTTCAGGTCGGGGCTGCAAGTGTGCCTCAGGTCGGTGCTTCAGGTCGGGGCTGCAGGTGTGCCTCAGGTCGGTGCTTCAGGTCGGGGCTGCAGGTGTGCCTCAGGTCAGGGCTGCAGGTGTGAGTCAGGTCGGGGCTGCAGGTGTGCCTCAGGTCGGTGCTTCAGGTCGGGGCTGCAGGTGTGCCTCAGGTCGGGGCTGCAGGTCACGGCTGCAGGTGTGAGTCAGGTCGGTGCTTCAGGTCGGGGCTGCAGGTGTGCCTCAGGTCGGGGCTGCAGGTGTGCCTCAGGTTGGGGATGCAGGTGTGCCTCAGGTCGGTGCTTCAGGTCGGGGCTGCAGGTGTGCCTCAGGTCGGTGCTTCAGGTCGGGGCTGCAGGTGTGCCTCAGGTCGGTGCTTCAGGTCGGGGCTGCGGGTGTGCCTCAGGTCGGGGCTGCAGGTGTGCCTCAGGTCGGGGCTGCGGGTGTGAGTCAGGTCGGTGCCTCAGGTCGGAGCTGCAGGTGTGCCTCAGGTCGGGGCTGCGGGTGTGAGTCAGGTCGGTGCCTCAGGTCGGGGCTGCAGGTGTGCCTCAGGTCGGGGCTTCAGGTCGGGGCTGCAGGTGTGAGTCAGGTCGGTGCCTCAGGTCAGGGCTGCAGGTGTGAGTCAGGTCGGGGCTGCGGGTGTGAGTCAGGTCGGTGCTTCAGGTCGGGGCTGCAGGTCGGGGTGTGATTGTTCCGGCCGCTCCCTGAGCTTTGTCCCAACGGAACAAACAGAAAGAAGCAAAGAGACGCCTCAGGGTGAACGAACCGAGCGCTCCTCCGACAGGCACGCCCCTGCACCTGACTGCACCTGACTGCACCTGACAACACCTGACAACACCTGACAACACCTGACTGCACCTGACAACACCTGACAACACCTGACAACACTGACTGCACTGACAACACCTGACAACACCTGACAACTGACTGACAACACCTGACAACACCTGACTGCACCTGACAACACCTGACAACACTGACAACACCTGACTGCACCTGACTGCACTGACAACACCTGACTGCACCTGACAACACTGACAACACCTGACTGCACCTGACAACACCTGACAACATGACAAACCTGACAACACCTGACAACACCTGACAAACACCTGACTGCACTGACAACACCTGACTGCACCTGACAAACTGACACCTGACTGCACTGACAAACTGACAACACCTGACAACACCTGACAACATCTGACTGCACCTGACAACACCTGACAACACCTGACTGCACCTGACAACACCTGACTGCACCTGACAACAACTGACAACACCTGACTGCACCTGACAACAACACCTGACAACACCTGACTGCACCTGACAACACCTGACAACACCTGACAACACCTCTGACTGCACCTGACAACACCTGACAACACCTGACTGCACCTGACAACACCTGACTGCACCTGACAACAACTGACAACACCTGACTGCACCTGACTGCACCTGACAACACCTGACTGCACCTGACAACACCTGACAACACCTGACTGCACCTGACAACACCTGACAACACCTGACAACACCTGACAACACCTGACAACACCTGACAACACCTGACTGCACCTGACAACAACTGACAACACCTGACTGCACCTGACTGCACCTGACAACACCTGACAACACCTGACTGCACCTGACAACACCTGACTGCACCTGACAACACCTGACAACACCTGACTGCACCTGACAACACCTGACTGCACCTGACTGCACCTGACAACACTGACAACCTGACTGACACACCTGACAACACCTGACAACCTGACAACACCTGACAACTGACAACACCTGACAACACCTGACAACACCTGACTGCACCTGACAACACTGACAACACCTGACTGCACTGACACTGACAACACCTGACTGCACCTGACACCTGACAACCTGACACCTGACAACATCTGACAACACCTGACTGCACCTGACAACAACTGACAACACCTGACTGCACCTGACAACACCTGACTGCACCTGACAACACCTGACAACACCTGACTGCACCTGACAACACCTGACAACATCTGACAACACCTGACAACACCTGACAACACCTGACTGCACCTGACAACAACTGACAACACCTGACTGCACCTGACTGCACCTGACAACACCTGACTGCACCTGACAACACCTGACAACACCTGACTGCACCTGACAACACCTGACAACACCTGACTGCACCTGACAACACCTGACTGCACCTGACAACACCTGACAACACCTGCACCTGACAACACCTGACTGCACCTGACAACACCTGACACCTGACAACACCTGACTGCACCTGACAATACCTGACGACACCTGCACCTGACAGCACCTGACAACACCTGCCGGCACCCGCCAGCACCTGCACCTGACAGCACCTGCACCCACAACAAGAACCAGGACCAGAACCAAGACACCTCACACCTGCACCCGCCCTGTCACACTCACCTGCACCTGTCCTCACCTGCCAGCACCTGCAACCAGAACCAGGACCAGGACTAAACCAGGACAAGGACATTTCACACCTGCACCAAACACAAGAAACAAACACTAAACCAGGACTAAACCAGGACTAAACCAGTTCTGAACCAGGACTAAACCAGGACTAAACCAGGACTAAACCAGGACTAAACCAGGACTAAACCAGGACTAAACCAGGACTGAACATGTGCAGCTCATGCAAATCTGAGTTCAGTCCAACAACAAACAACAAATCCCGAGTTGAGGTTTTGTTTTATTCTCGTCCGTGTGTCACTCACCAGGACACAGACTGTTTATAAAAATGAACCGAGCCTCTGTGATTAACAGGACGTGAACATGGACGCACTTCGGCTCCATCCGCTCTGGCTCCAGTTCACTTTCTATTGAACAGTCGTGGCTCCTCCCTGTGCACCTGCTGCTGCCAGACGCCTCGTTCTGCTCTTAAAATATTCATAACGACTCACTCTACACGATCCTGAGGTTTTTATGT